AATCGCAGGAGTTATCAAAACACGTATTTATTAACCAAAACACTTACTACAGGCACTAGACATATACACACAGGAAACACAGAAAGAACGTCACAGGAATGACATTTAAGACCAGACAAGGGACTAACTAAACTCAGGGATATAAATACACAGGATATAATTGAACTGATACCAAACAGAAGAGAAACAAAGGTGAAACTAATGAACATCAAGAAATGGCAGGAAACAGAACAAAGGGATCACCTGATATAAACCAACACACAGGAAGCATGAGGAAAAAATCACATGACAAACACAAGAACCTCATTCATTCATTCATTAATTCATTTTCTTTTTGGCTTAGTCCCTTTATTAATCTGTGGTCGCCACAGCGGAATGAACCACCAACTTATCCAGCCTATATTTTACGCAGTGGATTCCCTTCCAGCTGCAACTTAACACTGGGAAACATCCATACACACTCATTCACACACACATACACTACGGACAATTTAGCCTACCTAATTCACCTGTACCACATGTTTTTTGGACTTGTGGGGGAAATCAGAGCACCTGGAGGAAACACATGCGAACACAGGGAGAACATGCAAACTCCACACAGAAATGCCCACTGACCCAGCCGAGGCTCGAACCAGCGACCTTCTTGTTGTGAGGTGATTGTGCTACCCACTGCGCCACCGTGCTGCTCTAGTATAATTTATACTTCTTGATATTTATTGGGGGCCCTAAGCGGCCGCATTTTACATTTTCACAACAAAATCGAAACTAACATCTCAAAAAGTCTAACATACTCAAAGCCAATGCCAACCCCTGCAGATAAACGCAGACAATCTTGACACAGTGGCCCGAAATGCAAAGCCGACAAACTCACTTATTTTAGTAGCATTCTTCAGGCCATTGTTTTGATATATTCACAATTGTGCGTGTGTGTGTGTGTGTGCGTGTGTGTGTGCGTGTGTGTGTGTGTGTGTGTGTGTGTGTGTGTGTGTGTGTGTGTGTGTGTGTGTGTGTGATGTTATCAGTCTTTCTGTACGATTTGCAAATAACCTAGTAGCTTCAGTTTTGAAAAGAGCACCAAAGCCCACAGTGATGATAGAGATGGCAGTCATTTAAAACAGAGCAGACGTGATACAGATATAAAACATGTTCTCAAAATGTGTTCTAGAGATCTGTTTTCAAACTCTGTGAATTGTTGTAGAAGTGCGTTGTTCATCGTAACTGTCTGTCTTGGGTAACTTTTTGTGTCATGACAAACGTCTTCACCCCCTCTTTCCATTTTGAGGCCGCACTTTTATGTTTATATTTGTCCATCTTCTAATGTTCAAGTAGCTAGCAAACAACCTCTCACACTGTGGTTTTTAAACACATTTAGAGACAGCTTCAAGGCATTTGCAAAGATGCAGAGGCACTGCAAATCTGCAACAGCAGCGGTGTGCAAATATTAATGTCCACATAAAAATAACAGAGCTCTCCATGGCATTCAGACAAACAAATAAGTAACAATCTATAGCCACAAATGATCTGGAGCTGAAATTTATACATGGAAGTGGCCAACTGGTTTCTGACAGGTGCTAAATGTGCACTAGACCAATCACAGTAGACTGGGAATCATCTGACCAATCAGAGTGGACTCCACTCTTAGATTGATGACCCTTGAATGAACCATTTAAACATCTGTAGGCATGTATATTATGAGAAAACTGTTTGAGAAAACATTTGGAATTATTTAAGCAGTGTTTCTCAACCATATACCTGGAGGACCACCAGCTCTGCACATTTTCCATGTCTCCTTAACCAACACACCTGATTCAGATCATCAGCTCATTAGCAGAGACTAAAAGACCTGTAATGAGTGTAACAGACAAAGTAGACAACCAAAACATGTAGTGTTGGTGGTCCTCCAGGAACATGGTTGAGAATCACTGTATTACAGGACATCCCAGGAGCCTTTAGAGTTAAACTACACACTCACACTCCACTAAATATTGCTCTCTTCAGCAAATCACTCAATACGGTCAGGAATATCAGGAGCTTCTGGCCAGCAAGATGTCTCTGGATGTGGAAATCACCGCCTATAAGAAGCTCCTGGACAGCGAGGAGAACAGGTGAGCAGGTTTGACAAAAACACAGGAGATTTTCTTCATTCTTGAGTCTCATTGTATGTGTGTCGTGAGTCAGGCTGAAGTCTGGAGGAGGAGTCACTGTGCACATGTCCAAGACTCTGCTTGGTGGAGGAGCAGGAGGAGCTGGAGGTCTGGGTGCAGGTGCAGGAGGCGCAGGTCTGGGTGGAGGTGCTGGTCTGGGTCTTGGAAGTGGATTTGGGCTCGGTGGAGGTCTAGGAGGAGGTCTAGGTGGAGGTCTTGGAGGAGGTCTAGGTGGAGGTCTTGGAGGAGGTCTAGGTGGAGGTCTTGGACTAGGACTCGGTGGAGGACTGGGTTTTGGAGCAGGAAGTTCCTTCGGTGCAGGAAGCAGTTTCATGTCCTCAAGCCTGAGCAGCAGTGGCTGTAAGTGTTCAGAAATGTCCACACATTCACAAAATCAGCTCCAAGGTCTGAGAGCACACTCACATTCTGTTTTTAATTAAAATGTAAAGGTATAAACCACTGAATTATTCATGAATTTACTCATTCACTCATAATTTAGTTTTAAAAATTCAATTAAATTATAATTTAATTATGTAAACAATAAATCAACTATATTATTGTGTATGTAACCTAAAAAAAAGTGTTCATTATAAAATTATTAGCTGTCCTGTGAAAATGTTATTCTTTAAGAAATATTTCACAAGTGATTTTTAATGGAGAAAATGGAGAGATTTTTAAACACATTTTTATAACTTTTTTTCTTTGCCATGATGACGGTAAATGATATTTCAGTAGTTATTCAGCAAGATATTAGTATTCAGTTTAAAAAACTTAACTAGGAAAGTTAGTTTAACTAGGCAAGATAGGTTAAATAGGCAAGTCATTTGGAATCTAATAGTCATTTGTTATGTAACCAATCGAGAAATAAAATGTTAAAGAGGCCAATAATACTGATCTTAAAGTTTGTTTCAAAATGTTAAAAACTTTTAAAACGACTTTCTCCAGAAGAAAAAGTAATATAGAAAATACTGTTAAAATGCCATGCTCCATTAAACATTTTAAAAAGAATAAAAATATCACAAGGGGTAATAATTTTTCCTTCAAAAATCAATTACTTGTTTATTTTATTTAGTGATAATAATGTAGAGAAATAAAATTTTTATTTATATATTAATAAAAATGTAAACTAGCACCATGCATATCTTAAAGTCTTCAGGTTGTGTTTGCATCAGTTGATGTGCTGCTGTCAATCGAACCTTCATCTCCAGTCTGATTGTTCTGCTGATAATAAATTCTTTCTCATTTGTATTGCACTGAAATGCATTTTCACACGTGGTCTCAGACTTCAGGGCTGAATCACAGAACTCATCTTGAAGAACTGAATAAATGTCATGGTTTAGTCACACTTTCCGTTGTTTTTCAGTGTCGTCCACTGTTTACTGAAGACTCTCAGCCTCCACTTATGAGGTTGTTTATTCATCAGCAACACCCCCATCAGCTCACACCTATCCAACGAGACGCCACAAACCTCTACAACAACAACAAATATCCATTGTGTTATTATCATTTTCTCTGAGGCTCAAAAAAAGGGTTTTTGCAAAATTGTGTTTCCTTGCATCACTTTCTTGTACAATAAAGAAAAATCCATCCTGGTCATTACAAACACAGTGGTCTTGAATCTTTTCATGCTATCAATTAATCAAATATTAATTTAATGTATTAACAATGTAATAATGTAATAATAATAATGTATAGAGATGTATATATATGGAGTTTAGATGCAAATTTATATATGCAAATTTATTTGCATATTAACATAAGAATTTAGATGCAAAAACCTCTAAATGCCATTTGAAATTTTCTTCTAAAATGAATATTTTTATCAGGCTCTTGTGTGTGTTCTTTGCTTTATTGCAAAGGATGTCATTTTCAGGGTCTTTAAAGTTAAAATAACAACATAAAGGAGGCTGAAAAAAATATATTTTTCAATGGAAATTTTAGACGTCACTTAGAGGTTTTTCCATCTGAACTCTTTATTTTTATTTTATTTTTTTTTACAGATTTTACATATTACATGTATTTACATATTGAAAAATATAGAAATATACTTTATACTTGGTATATTATGTCTATAAATCTAAACAACATATGTAAAACTATATTGAAATTACAATGAAAACAAATGTAAAAATAATAAATAAATAGAAAAATATGTTATAAAGATTGATAAATACACATTGGTTTGAATGTATGAAAAATGTAAAATATATGGAAAGGTTTAAAAATATAGCTGCATGCAAAATAATAACAACTTAGGTTTTTACACTTCGAAAGTCAAAATTATAAACTAAAAATATTTTTTAAAAATGTATGTTTAATATTATCGCATAAAATGTATTGCAAAACAATTAATGCATGACAAATAAAATGTATAATTGGTTTATGTCAAAAGTACACATAAAGGTGTATAAAACATACAAAATGTTTAAATAAATATAGTGTTTCCATGATAGTTATGTCTACAGCTATAGCCTATGATTATTATTTTATATTTAATTTGAAAAAGTTTGAAAATCTTGACAACACAAACTTACATCTACTCACCCGTATGAATTTAACGTTAGATTATTACCATTAAACACATTCGCCTATTATAGCTTTATTGTAGTAAGATAAAGTTGCAAGATGTTAAAAAAGTGGAACAAACAGACCCACACACCACCTACAGACCTAGATGACAAATGTCAAAACCCTAAAGACAAAAAACTTTTTTTTTTTTTTTTTTTTGCAAAAATAAACAAGCCTTCATTAGCTTCGCCAGACTCTCAAGCGTTCGTGAGTTGATTATTAACCTGATCACTAAACTTTTCAGAAGGACAGGGTCTTTTTTTACACTGAAATCTCACTCTTCTCTGCGTTTGTGAGAAAACCTTGTTCTGACATGATGCTCCGTCTGCATTTCAACGGTTTCTCACCGAACGCTAATGAACGAACCCAACTTGAAAGCTTTGACATTTGGGCTTTGAAGAAGGAGTTTGAGCTGATCTTCTGGTGTGTGTCTGTGGTTTTCTTAGTGGTCTCTGGTCTTTTCTATTCACCGGTGTCCGGCTTGATGCTGCGCGGATGTGGTTTGATTCAGTTTAAAACAGGAAACGCGCGCGCGCTCTTGTTCTGCGCGCTCATCATTAGTCCTCCACTCGACTATAAGCTTTAAATCCATCAGACTGAGGAAGATGGACAGCCATGATCGATGAAGGTAATAATAATGCGCTTTGTAATTTAACACATGATTATGAAACAAGTATCATTCGCTTAGAATGAGACAACAACTTTTCGGTTGTCATTGCAATAAAGAAAATAATACAAGCTGTTTAAGACATGAAAGACAAAAGACTGAATAGTAACCACAATACTTCCCCAGCTGATTTATTATGAGTAGGGGAAAAGAGAAAAAGTATTATTAAGTTTTATAAAATGTTGTTTACATATGAGGTAGGCTAATTAATGTGACCCTCGACATAACCATGCAGTCATAATTAGGCTCAATTTTCTGAAATCTACATTCATACATAATCTAAAAGCTGAAATCGAAATAATGAGAAAATCGCTCTTAATGCCACAAGTTGCAAACTAAGTACTTATATATATTACCCATCAAAAATGTGTTTTTGAGATATTTATAGGAGATATTTTGAGATATTTATGGGCAAATTATCTCAATGAAGCATGATTTTTACAAATAACGATTTTTTTTGTCATAAAAGAATATAACAATTTCACTCTTAATTGCCAAAATATACCTTGCCGTGATTATTGATGTGTCCAGTGTCACAAATTTGCACACATTTTAGCTAAAAATCATGAACATGAAGTCAATCAGGTTCAATATTCTTGCTTTAGACATTGATTAAAGTAAAAGGCTTTTTCTAGAGGAGTGGAATCTTTTTTTTTTTTTTTTTTACCTGTGACTGCCAGAAAAAGAAAGAAAAAACCAAACAAAACGATTTTGTTTTTAGAATAAAATGTGGTATCATTATATTTAATGGTCACCTTAATGCATTTTTTTTTTTTAATTTAGGTTACATTGCATCTTCATGCCAACTAATTCTCATTAGATTGTTAGGTTGGGGTTAGGCTTAGGGTTAGTGTTAGTTGACATGTACTTGCAAAGTTTCTTAAAATCAGTTAAATGTTTGTTGGAGCAGTATCAGCAGATATTAAGCAGTCTACTTATACTCAAATGAGAAGTAATTGGCATGTAGAATGCAACTTTTAGTTTAACAAAATGTGCAATAGGGACCATCGAAACAAAGTGTTACCTTGTATCTAAATTACAGTATACACAAATTAACATTTCCCTCTGCAAAATCCCCCTATAATATAGATATGCCAAGTTTGGCGTCTGTAAGTGCTGCTCAATTTGAAATTTATGGCTCAATGCAGGAGAAAAAAGGTTGCACTTTACAATCAGGTTGTATTAGTTCATGATAGTTAATGCATTCACTAACATGAGCAAACAATGAACAATGCATTTATTACAGCATTTGTTTATGTTAGTTATCATCAGTTAATGAAAATAAAGTTGTTTACTGTTAGTTTGTTAAATCACGGTGCATTTTCTAATCTAACAAGCATGAATTTGGATTTTAATAAGCCATTAGTAAATGTTAAACCTTGATTAACTGTTACGCTCTACTGTTCATTATCAGTTTATGTTAGTAAACACATTAACTAATGAAACCTTATTGTTAAGATTGACCCCCCCACCCCCCAAAAAACTCCTTTTACGTAAAGATATGAGTTATATGATTAAAGTCCAAAGACACAAATTGATAAGTTACAGTAAACGAAACACTTAAAATTGTGTTTTGAATGTTTCCTTTGTGTCAGACTGAACTATGGAAAAATCAAGAGCAAACAATGGTTACATAAGAAGCTTCCTGTGCTTCAGTAACTTTTGACAAAGCTCACGTCATCAGACACATCAGATCATCACACTTAATAATAATTATCTTATCTAGTAATATTCCCTAATCTCATCATCTGTCATTTTTTTGTACCATTGTAAGAGCTGTGAGAACAGTATATGTGTGGTCATTATTAGATAACACGCTGATATGTTCTTCTCATTATATGCGTGTGAAAAGCGTCTGTAATTTGGAGAGGGCATCATTTACTCTTGTTGTTGTTGTTGAAGGCATGAGTGGGATCCAGAATCAGACAGGAGTTCTGCTCGCCGTAATTTCCGTGGCCTGTCTGGCTTGTGCTGTTGTCATCTGTCTGTGCTGCAGAAGGAGGTCTAGTAAGTGTTTTGATTACTATGTTTTCACTTTGGTAAAAATACTCCTCTGTTTTTCCTCTGTGAGGGTATATTGGTTCTTGTGTGTTTGTTGAATTCTTTTATACTTGCTTTTGTCATCTAATGTAGCTGTGTTTTTTTATTTCTAGATATACAACAAGCGGACAATGACCTCTATGACCAAGACGGGTTGTAAGTCTTTTCTTTTTGTGGTCTATTTATAAATTTGATTTCATTAATGTACAGGACGGGTCAAAGACTAGACATTTTAGTAACTGTATCAAATTCACAAAATAAGCATTTACTGCTCGCCAACTTTTGTATGAAAGCAAAATGACAGAATAATAGTACATCATCATTTGGAGTAATATTATAAAAAAATCAAAAAGTGACATTTTAACAAAGGTTTTATTTATTAATTAATAAAAAATTTATAATTAAAAAAAAAATTCCTGTAATGAAGATTAGAATAGTTCTTCAAGTGATTCTAATTGCTAAAGGGACAGTTCACCCAATAATAAAAATTTGGTCCTCATCCTTCACTTGCCACAAATCTGTTTGTTTCTTTCTATTGTTGAATGCAAAAGAAGATATTTTGAAGAATGTTGAAAAGCGGTAACCCTTTTGAATGGTTACAAGTTTTTAGCAGTTTTCTTTTTTGTTCAATGAAAAAAAAACACATAAAGGCTAACTTTAATGGCACTGGCAAGGTCTTTTCTGTGAATTAAACACTTTTACACTGAATAACAGTGTAGTCAGTAGGGCTGGACAATATATGATTTGAGCATCGATATTGCAATGTGTGCATCTGCAATAGTCACATCGCAAGATATGTAATGTTGATCTGGATTATAGTTGAGCAATTTAATCTTATTTAAGTACTTAATATGGAATTCATATGATTTATGCCAAAAAAAATGTTTTTAGTACAAATATGTACATTCTAAACCAAAAAAAAAAAAAAACAAGATTATTTTACTTCACTGATAATTTAGCTTGTTTTAGGAAAAAACTCTTAATTTCGCCTCATTTCTTCTGATTTTGAAAACTAAACAATATTTTTACTTCATCTAAGATGTTTTGTTTTTTAGATATTTGGACTATAGACAAAACAAAGTAAGAAAAGCGTTTTTTGCATTGTAATTATTTAATTTCAGTATTTAAATACTGTTTAGACTCCCCTGAAAACCATCAAACAGAGCTGTTCAAACTATCTTGTGAAACTACTCAAATCGCAATATATATATTGCAGAAAAATTAAATATCGCAATATCAGATTTTTTCAATATCATGCAGCCCTAGTAGTCAGTCTTCTGAAAATCATAGTAATCTGGAAAAATAATTCATCTTTATTTCTATAGCACGTTTACTGTGTATATTGTGTCAAAGCAGTTTAACATAGAAGTTCTAGTAAATTAAAACTGTCAGTCCAGTTTTCAGAGTTGCATTAATTATTATAGATTTTCCTTGGTGAAAAACTAAACTTGTCATTTTTGTGCTTCTCTTGATTTTCCCTCTTTTTTAAATTTGTATTTATTATTTTTCTATAACATAAATTTGGATGTACTAGTTTTTGGATCATTGTCGTAAGTTATTTTGTTAGATGAGCTCTAGATTTGGCTTTAGACTGACTAATCTAATGTAAAAGCACAAATATAATATTGCAGAGATTCTTATTAAAAAATATGAATTTAAAAAATAAATTTGTGAGGGATTGTGTTCATATGTGCGGTGCACTGTATGTACAGTTGAAGTCAAAATAATTAGTGCTCTTATGAAAAGTGTATTCTCTTTCAATTTCCCGTCTTGTTTAACAGAGATTTTTAACACATTTTCAAACATAAAAAAAAGAAAAAGAAATAAAATACTTTTTACAAATGTGAATGATTTAAGTTTCATTATTAAGGAAATATGTCTCATTTTCATTAAGTTACAATTAGCAGATACTGCATAATAAAACAACTAAAATCTCAAATTTAATAAAGCAAATTTCAACAATTGCTGAAAACAACAGAGCAACACTGATATCAGTATATATGAATGTGATACTGTTCATTCTAAAACTTGTACTTCTCTTTCAGTGAACAAAGCAGCACATCTGATGGCAAACAACCTCCAACAGGTAAACAACATCACCTTTCACCACATTTTGAGGAGGAAATAAGCTTTATTCAAAGTTAAAGTCAACTTTATTGTCAGTTCACCCACATGTACAGGACATACAGAAGATCGAAATTGTTACTCTCAGACGCTAGGTGCATAACAGATTCATACTAAAAGTAGAATTTTAAAAAGAAATTACAATAAATTCAATTACACATAATATAAGAATATAAGTAAATATTTAAAAATGGTAAACAATACAATTAATTATGCTTAAGGGCAAATGACAAGAAGCGCAAACCAGAGCCGTGCAGATGCAAAACTGTAAATAGACTTTATTGTAAGACTTATTGTAGACTATTGTCATTTGGATTCAGTGTTTTACTTGCAAGACACTTGGTTCAATGCATAGTCTATGAAATGACAGATTTTACTGTATACCTGTGAACTTCTGAAGAAATCCTAAAGCAGTAGATGATAAACGCGTAACGTCTGTTGAACGCTTCAGTAATGACATTCAGTAATGTGCTCTTCATTATAAAGCAGAAATGAGGTTTGATTTCTACGTCTGTCTTTTAGTGATAAGATCACTCCAGACAGAAAGCGAGACTCCTTCAACCTCAAGGTGACATTCATTCACTGTTTTTACATTTATATTTACCACAACTTTGTAGTTTTATGTTGGATGTCGGGGGTTAAATGTTGTATCTGAGGATGTGATAATTCTTTGAAAACCGCCGCCTTTGCTGAATAATTCTAACCAAATGCAAAATTTTTACAGACATTCAACAACAATCAGGTCCATGAAAAGTAAGATAGTTTAGTTTAAACTTACATTGTTTTAACACAAATGTCCATAAAGGAATGAACCAGTATTCTGAACGAATCATTTTAATTTTGATCGTTTCACTGCAGATGACATGCCCTGGAGCTACCAGAACCTTCCACACGGTGAGAGTCACTCTTAAGCAAGACATTGACAATATAGAGATGACAAAATGATCATCGCCATATTCAGAAAGTTGACTTGATTACATTAGGAATTGAAAATTTGTTTTTTATAACATTTTTGCATTCATTTTTAAATATTTAAAAAAAAAATTTTATAATTTTTTGTTTTTGTTTGCAATTAGAGCATTATTTAATTAAATCTCTGTTTATTTGTGTATATTTCTAGCACAAAAGTCACGCTAAGTTTTTGTTACTTTTAATTAGTCAGTTAGTCAAATAAGTGGGAAGTGATAAGAGAATCTCGTTTATCAGGAAATATTCTGCAAAAAACCTGTAAACAGACACAAAAAATCTTCATATAACGTACAATTTTGTAGAGGTGAAAATTTCCTTCTGGTAAACCTTTAGAATATAGATATGCATGAAACGGTCTGGTGTAAGTGTTGCTGAAGTGGAGATTTATGACTTATTTTGAGAAAAAAGGCTTTAAAATATATATTATATTTAAAACCTACAGACACAAACTGGTAAAGTGTGACAAAAGAAACTCTAAATACTGTATTTTAAATGTTTTCTTTTCAATAAACAACAACAAAAAACTGTTTAAGTCAAAAACGACAGTTCAATGCAAAAAAAAAAAGGGAATATAGTCAGTATTCTCATAAGGCATCATTTATAAGTATGAGCACACAGCCTAATAAGGCCTGTTTTTTTTGTGTATGCAGCTGAAAATGGAATCTTGGAAGCAACATATGTGTGAGTGTTTTAAAAAAAAAATTAGTTTAAGTTTAATATTTATCAAAGACTTCAGTAAAGTTTTGTTTGTTCAAAATAATATACCATATTTAATATTCATGCATGCTTTTTATTTTTCCAGGGACCCAATTCCAAATCCACTTTATGCAAACGAAGGTAAATGTGCCGACTGTTTCTGTCTGATGCAACTGTTGCAAACGCATCACTGTCTTCACAGGAAAAATGAGGTCAAGTGACATTTAACACCGAATGTAAAGCCACAGGTCAAATACACACACACAACTGAAACTGATGGCATTACAGTGATGCAGATGTTTTTAATGAAATGTCACATTCCCCAGATACAGACAATTTGGATACAGGAACGTACGAAAATGTTTTTCCAACAAAGGAGGTGCAGCACGATTCAGGTTGGTGTTTTCTTGGTTCTAGTTCAGAAAATTTTATTCGTAACCACTGTAGGCAAACAAATGCTGGGTTGTTGTATCACAATGTTGGGTTAAAACTGAATAAACGGAATATTGGGTTATTTTTTAATATATAGAATTTAATTAAAATTACACTTGTTCATCTGACCCAACACTGGGTTACAACTCAGCATTTTTAAGTGTATAACATTAACATGAGCAAATGCTATTGGGGAACAGTAACAAAAGCACCTTCTGCTCAAGAAGTTTCAATACTGAATTTATTTATGTATTTTTGCTTGTTCAGTCAGGACAGGGCTTTAGTTTTTGCTGAGAAAAATAGTTAAAATTAAGGTGCAAGTTTGCTAGTAAAGTTGGAAAGAAAATGTTTTCTCTATTGTGTGTGCGCTCAACATTTTAAGTAGCAAAGTTTTCCTAAATAGTCCCAAGACAAGATTGGGTGCTGTTCAGTAGTTTGATAAAAGGTGTTGATTCTCTTCTAATGTTGACTACTGTATTATTATCATGAAAAATATAATTAGGAATATTTTAAAAACACAATAATAAACATTTATACAGTTGGTCAAAATTATTTGCCTAAGTTTCCTAAATGATGTCTAACAGAGAAGGGAATTTTTCACAGTTGTTCCTGTAATATTTTTTCTTCTGGGGAAAGTCTTTATTTCAGCTGGAATAAAAGCAGTTTACATTTAAAAATATATATTTTTAGATAATATATCTAGTCTTAAACATCTAGTAAAATATTATGTACCGACATCATGGCAAAGATAAAATAAATCTCTTAAAAATATATGTATAATGTTTAGAAATGTGTTAAAAATCCTGTTTCAATTAAATACAAATTATAAATAAATATATACAGGAGGCTAATAATTGTACACAACATACTGTATGTGTGCATATGCATTTTACAAAACAAATTTTTTGTGTTTGAAATTGTCAACAGATAGCTACGATTATGAAAACTCAGACTTTTTGGCAAATCAATCGGTGGAAGGTAAAATACTTGTATACTTTTTTTGTTTTAGTTGAAAACATATGCACTATTAATTGATAAGGTCTACACTCATTTTGTTTCCTTTTTTGTACAGAAGAATCAGACTACGTGAACAATCCATAGGAAATATTCTTGCTTCATCATCACAGGAATATTTTCACTTTTTACATGTCACATTTTGTGTTTGTGTTTACCTGATGTTTATTAGTGTTTACTGTTAATTTAAAAAAAGTTTAATAAAAAGCATCTACTATACCTTGAAGTCTGCTACAGTTCAGAGTGGAAAGTTGCAATCAGAGTCAATGAACAAATCTGCCATGCACAAAGATTTTTTTTTTTTTATTGAGGTGTGATGAGGAAGACATGAGGCCTAGTTTGGTGTCTGCTTATATATAATGCATTGTGCTCTATAAATCAAGCACTAAACTGAAAATGTTTAAACAGCCATTTGCTTTGCTTTTCTGACTATTTCTAACATCCGGCAAAACTGCAAAACTAAAAATCTAAATGCAATAGCACAAAAAAAAAAAAAAAAAGACCTTTAAAAACAAACTCATTCAAAAGCAACCAAATTTGTAAATTTTTATTGCTGCAACTTGTAATGTTTTATTGTACATTGGAGAGTATAAAAGTCACGTGTGTTGTGGTTAGTTAGTAATGAATATTATTTTAGCTTGCTTCAGGGGTGGCCGTCTTTCTGCAGAGTCTCCCCAACAGACCAGCCATCTGCAGCAGAGAGTTCACTCCTTCTGCCACTTTCATATGCGTGTAGCCGATTTCCTGGACAAGCAAAACAGCGTTGATTCAGTGATAAAAATAAACATGCTGCTTTCATTTCTTTCTTTACACTGGCATCATATTACCCAAATATAATTCCCTGAGATAACTTAAATGCTTCTAAACGTTTGAGTTTTGTTGTTTTCAATTGAACACGAAAGAAGATGATCTAAAGAATGTTAGGAGCCAGCAACCATTGACATCCATAATAGATAATCTTGCAGGACTCCCAGAGTTCATCAAGATTCTTTGGATTTATCTTCAATGCCTCCTCCATCTTACCCCAGACATGCTCAATAATGCTCATATCTGGTCACTGAGTTGGCCCATCCTGGAGCACCTTCAACTTCTTTGCTTTCAGAAACTTTGATGTGGAGGCTGAAGTATGATAAGGAGCGCTGTTCTGCTGAAGAATTTGCCTTCTCCTGTGGTTTGTAATATAATGGGCAGCGCAAATGTCTTGATACCTCAGGCTGTTAATGTTGCCATCCACTCTGCAGATCTCTCGCCAGACCCCATATACTGAATGTAACCCCAAACCATGATTTTTTTTCTTCATCAAACTTGACTGATTTCTGTGAGAATCTTGGGTCCATGCAGGTTCCATTATGTCTTCTGCAGTATTTGTGATGATCGGGATGCAGTTCAACAGATGGGAAAAATCTACCTGCTGACACTTTTCCAAACGATCAACTAGAAGTCAAGTTATTATTTGTTGCTCTTGCAACAGATCGACGACAAGATTTTTGTCAAGAAGTGTATGCATATGACATACAGTGTCAATATAATTAAGTTTTAAAAGAAATAAAAATAAGACTTATTATTTTAACTTATTATTAAACATGCCACCCATGGGGCACAAACAGTTCAGGGGTGAATGAGTGTTAAATGAACAAAAACTTTTTTTTTTTTAAGTTCTTGATTTTTATTATGAAATCAGTGGTAGTGTGTGAAGGCTTAAATCTTCATTTAATAATTTTTGTTATTTATGTCATTTGATGAAACAAATTTGTGTCAAATCACTAAATATTACATTAATATATAATTAACTTATAATCATTTCTGACTTGCTACTCTGTGCAACTTTTTAAAATTGACCCAATGGTTAAAGCAAATGAAAGTTACCTTAATATATTCCAGCTTCAGATATTCTGCCATCTGAAAGGTCTTGCAAACTCTAAAGATGTTTCCGATGATGTCCTCTGGTGAATATCCTAGAGACCAAAGCTGCTCGATAATCTGCAGAAACACACAGAGAGAATCATCTCTCTCATCCGGTGTTTATAATTGTTGAATGATTTCCAAAAGTGAATGTTTAATGGTACCTTGTAGGCTTCATCGATGTTGGCATTAACACAATGTTCTAGCATGCTTTTTACCAGCAGAGGATGTGGCTCGTCACACACCTGCACACACAACAACACCATTACACCTCACTAACACATATTTGTGTGTGTGTTAAGCCTGGCTCACATGGCGCAATTTGTAATAATCTTATTAATAATATGATTGTAGCTTGTCAGACTGTGCGAAAATAATACCCATGTCATCCGGAGTTTGAAGTTGTTCATCTGTGACTCATTTACTATCCCAGCAAACAATCAGTTGTGGTCATTTAGCTCACATCGTTGCTTATTGATAAAACCAGAAACAAAATCTGGACATTTACAAGCATTTGTCGTGCAGATTGCTTAATCATATTCAGCACTTTTATTGGTTTTTGGTTTAATGCTCATTGTAGCTGAAGTCACCCTGCAGGAAAGAGTCTGAAACTTTCTGACACTGCCAGAACTTCATCAGAGGAAAAATTTGAATACTGTGGTCATTAAACGGCTGATGGTGAACACATCAAACCAAAGATCAAGGAGCACAGATTAGGGCTGCAAGAAAAAATCTAATATTGCAATATTTTATTCTTCTTAAAAATAAATATTGCGATAGGAGTACAGTTTCATAAGATGGTTTGAATAGCTTTTTTTTTTTTAAGTTTTTTGGGAAGTCTAAACAGCATTCAGGTACAGAAATTTAATATTTACAATGCAAAAAAAAAAAAAAAACATTTTGTACTAATATTTTTGCTCTGTCTCATTTCAAGTGCAAATATTAAAAAAACACATTTCCCAAATTTGTCTCAGGCGACCAAATCATGGCTAACCAAATCCCACAGTGCAAGCAAGATTTTAGAGAAAAATAATCTAACAGCCCAAAATACCTTGAACACGTTTTCACTGTTGATATATCCAAATCCAGAGTTGGTGGACTGTAGGTTATTCAGAGCCTAGAGGAGAATAACATTAACAATATGAAGCTAAAGAATATTACATTTGTGGTTAAAATTGCATTTTATTTTATTATTTTTTTAATTAACAACAAACGCATTAGTGTTTAGTTGACCTAAATATTGTGAATTTATTTTATGAGTGTTTTCTGTTGACTGGACTGACCTGTCTCATGTCTCCTTGAGCGGTGAAGATGATGGCCTCCAGGCCGTCGTTGGTGACGTGCAGGTTTTCCTTCTCTACCACCTCCGTCAGACGCATCATGATCTGCTCGTCTCGCAGTTTGCTGTATCGCAGCACAGCACAGCGCGACTGGATGGGCTCTGTGACAGAATAACAGGACAAAATGAAAATCTGCTATCTGTATTTTATTCAGGGTTACTGCAAGTTTTTTAAGGGTAAATTTCATATTTCATATATATATATATATATATATATATATTCACTTACATATTCATTGGCTTCAATTTATATTTAAATGTATTCATTTTGAGAATCCTTATTATTTACAACAATATTTTAAGGGTCCAACAGATTGGAACAATTTACCTGGTAACATTCGATCCATTTCATCATTTAGGGTCTTTAAGCAAACCTTGTTTTCATATTTTACTTTGGATTGTACTTGTTTTTCCTGAGGATGTTATTATTTATGTGGTGATTGGATTCACTGATTTGTATATTATTTTTGTAATTTGTATATATACAAATGTATGTATGTATACTACCCCCCCCCCTTTTTTTTTCTTTCTTTCTTTTATCTTGTTTTTTATGTTATGTTTTGTCTTTTGATGTTATTATGTGATTAATTGTGGGACCCCCTTGAAAATAAAATGGCACATCTCAAGGGGTTTATCCCAATGAACACAGTGTAATGTAAATATAAATTTAGAGACCAAGAGAAAAAAAGTCAAGTTTTTATAGGCATATATAATGACATCTCAGATTGTACAAGACACACTTTACAAAAATCTACTTGTTTTTATGAAAGATTTTATAAATAAATTTCCTCTAAAATATTAAAATATGGAAATATCTTAAACTGTACCTTCTAAAGAAACAGTATATACTATCATATAAAGATATTTCGATTTTGAAAAATAAAAACATTAACCCTTTTTTTTGTATATGCTACATTTCATGTTATAATCTGATGAACTTCAGACATTTTAGAAGCCTTGAATTGGTCAATCTAAGAAATTCTTTAAGTATTTTGTGTGCAACAGGGTGTTGTTTACCATCTGGAGTATGGAGAATCAAAGATCATGGACAAAAATGAATTATTGCAGTCCTCTTCTCATGTTTTTAATACAACAAAAATCACATGCTGGGAAGCTGGTCAATATGATTTTTTTTTTGAATCAACGCTTTTGCATCTAGAAAAACTGCCATGTTCTTTTCCACCTTATAATAAACGCCTCAGTGCCCAGACAACAAACGCTGGTATTTATGTTATCTTGCTTTCAGAAGCAGAACAACAATCAAGT